TATGGGAAAATAAAAGGTCGGTTAGTTCAGCTCTTTCATGTCTGGCTTGGCGGGTTTGTGTCACGGTATGGGAAAATAAAAATTGGTTAGTTCAGTTATTTCATGTCTAGGGTCTGGTGGCTTGTTTTACAGCGTCGGTGCCACGCGACGCCAACCTATTCAATTTTTGCGAACAGGCAGGTGCAGGAGGCAGGTGCAGCGTTGGGGGGGGGGGATTGGCTAAAAGAAATTCAATCCGGCACGTATGGCGCCACTCGGTCCGTCTCTTCTCGTTTGCTTTTTTCCCTCGCCGTCTCGTCCGTCTCCTGCCCCCCTCCCGCCCCATTGGTTGGTGGCTTGTGGTTTCGTTTGAGCGCCCGTTGTCGGCTGGCCTCGTCTTCCTTCTCGTGCCAGGAGGTCATGAACCTCTCAGGTCCCTGCGGCACCGCCGCATGCCAGGGTACTCCCCCCTCTACCTTCGCGGCTTCCGTCCACTTTAACGTTGATGCCGTGTCTTTCGGTACCGGGATTCCGAAACAACATGGATCAGCTTTCGTAGATCCGTGGTCGGCCCCGAATGCCTTCAGGTCGTCAAGCACACACTTCGGCCAGTTCTGTTCCTGTCCCCCCATACGTCGCTTCTCCCCCCCTGCCAGTTCGCCGAACATCAGTTCGGGAGTCGCCCGTCCGGCTGCCTTGCCAATGCTCCCGCGAACAGTAGGCGTCGTTGTCGGATCGTGGCTTCCACGCTCTGACATTCGACCCACTTCAGCGTCTGAGCATAAGAGAGCTGCTGGTAGGTGTCTTGCGTGTAGAGACGAGCGAAATGGCCTGAACTATTCTGTCGTTGTTGTCTTTTGGTCCCGTCCCCTTCGGGTCCATTGTATTTTCGTATACCTTTTTTGGGCGAGTTGGCCTGTGACCACGGGAATCGATTCCGTCAAGTGTTAAGACTAGTACAGACAAAGGAAGGTATGGGCAGAGAGAACGGGACGGTTTTTCATGCGAAAACAACAAAAACAACTGCTATGGTATGCTGTTGTGCTGTATCTGCACCAGCGAAATCATGCACGTGAGCCATGGAACCTCACAAAAAACAGCAAACTGGACACACATAGGTGATTGCTGTTCACCATACGAACACCCACCCCAGCATTTTCCATGTAGACTCACCCCACCCTAGCATGTACCTTCCCGGCACACAACGGCAGCCAGATACGAAGTACAACGTAGAATTTGAACTTTCTATTTTTACGCCAAAAAAACAGTGCAGGTTTGCCGACACAGCGTAGGAGTCTATTAAAGGCAAAAGTTCGGATATGCAGATATGTAACAGGCAGTAAGATGGCTGCCAAACTGGCGGGTTCAACCTGTTCCTCATATGCTTTGTACATCAGTGTAGTCTGGACTTTACCTGTTGTATGGACATGTTGCTCAAGGTGTGACTTGTAGCAAAAACACGAGCCTATCTGGGGTGGTATCTAACAGGTACTAGATATGTACCATACATGGAATACGACCGCATGCATATCATAGGTGTGTATCATAAGGTAGTGCTGCCGTGCCATGGGTCATGCCTCATGCCGGTTCAGTTCGCGTCTATCTGTTGTTGTTGTCTTCAATTAAAAACCATCCCGGTCTCTCTATCCAGTACCTCCTTCTGTCTCAATCTCTCCGTACTTATCCAGCACTTGACTCGGTCAATTTCCGTGGTCACAGTCTTATCTGTGGAAAGAGAAAAGTTATGACAAGAAAAAAAACAAAACAAGAAAAAATTAAGTAGTCTACTTCTTGGACGGGCTTAGACTATGTCGAATCCCAGAAGACACGGTACAGCAGTAGCAGGAACAGGGCAGGAACTATTATAGTCGACACTGCTGCACTTTCCGGGCACCACAACACCCGAGCCCGCGGTACAAGAACGGCATCGAAACTCCATGTGGGTCCAGCTTGTTGGAGGTCGCAGTGCGAACATGGCACCACCCCGCCAGATCCAATTTCGCCTCTTGATGACTGTACTGCTGGCTTTTTCGAGAAACACACAAACACTGCTGTTACCCCTGTGAGACGCCGATGGTTGATGGTTGATGGCACCCGGAATATAGTCTACTATAATATTGCCCACAGGCCCACAGGCCAGCCAGCAAAGCTTCGAATCGATAGGGGCCCTACTGGTAAGGTATGAGTGGGCGCACCTCTGTCGCCAACGCTACTACTGCTGCAAGCGCCTGTTCGTGCGGGATGCCGGGGGCTTGCTGCTACTGCTGGACTACGCCAAAATTCATTCTCAAGACTTACTCGCCACCCGCAAGTGCACACACACGCTGCGACCCTCCGCTGAGAGAGGAAGATATGGAGAGGGACCAAGCAAGCTTGGGCAGAGTGAACCAAGCAGTGCTATCAGGCAGATCCTCACAAAGAGCTGCTGCTGCTGTTATAGGATCGGTTGTAGCAGAACAGGTTTGTTCGCGGTTGCAAGACGGGCTGTCCTTCGCTAAGACAAAACGCGGAGCGGGAAAACTACTGCTACGTATACACTGGCATCGCCCGAGGATCCGCCGTTGTGGGACACCAGACACGCCGATTAGAGCGGCTTGCACATCATTTACGTCTCTTCCTCTCAGGGGTCTCGACGCCAAGCCTACCATTCCACTTACACGAGGGATATCTGCCGAGGGCAGTAGGGTGGCCACGAGCGCTGCCTCCACAGGTGCAAGACCGCCATGAACACGACAAGCTGATACAGCCCGGTCAGGGCGATGTGCACCCAGTCCCTCCAGTCGCCGGGATCCAGCTCCGTCCACCTGTCATCGTCATCGACCCATTCTTCCGAGCTGTCGTACTGTAGCGCCCTATGCCTGAGGCCCAGCATCGTATCCCTACGAAAAAGAGGGAGCTGTGGAGCTGTTACAGCGAAAACGCACACCCTTGTTGCAATGATGTCGAGCGAGGTGTCTGGATGGATGATGGGAGACAAGCCATTACTTCTCTCTCTTTCTGGTCTCTAATCAACCATACACATTTTTTCTGCGAACAGTTTCTTTTTTCTTCCGAAGGGTTTCTAAGACCAGTTAACACTTGTTGGAAGTGCGAGAACAATTCTTTCATTTCTACAAGCTGTTGTTGTTGTTGTTGCGAAAGTAGCGCAAGCTGCGGTGCTGCCTTGTTGATTGAGCATCAGGCCTGTTACCGACAGGATGGACATCGCTGTATATGCTGCTCGGGTAATCGTGGAATAATACATGGATGCTGCAGCGTTCGATGTATGAAGCCAGTACGTTTAGTACAGCTCTTCATACGTACTATACGTACTATTGCGTTTAGTACAGCTCTTCATACTGCTGTACTAGACTATACGTACTACAAGGATCGGGCGGGGACGCCTTTGGCGTCCCCGCCCTCACAAACATGTGTGGAAGAGGATAAGGTTGACGTTGAAAGAAGAAAGTAATGACTCCTACCAAGAGGTTGCAGAGGTAAGTTGCCCGTGCGAAGGAATAGGGCGAAGGAATAGGGAGGTTGAATGTGTTATTCCTCGCGAATGTTGTGAGGTGAATCACACTGCTGTAGAGAGTGACGGATGATGACAAAAAACTTTCGTGTTATTATTTGAATTGAATTCCAATGAACATGTAAGGGCAGATCGCACGATCCTTGGTTCCCGTTTGAAAACACAGCAACAGCAGCGCTGACGGTAAAAAAACGACACTCCCAATAGGAGGATCGTAGTTATTAAATCTGGCGCAACTCCCGCAGCAACAAATCCACAACCGACAGAAAGAGGACTTACAATTGAGGTAGTCATGAAAAACACCCACAAGGTTACTTACGACGACAGCCAAGCTGCGGTTACTTTTCGCAGGAAAAGTACGCTACTTACAAAAACACCACGGCCAAGCATACGCGGCAACCGGAGCGGTGGCCCTAATTAGCGATACTCCCCGTAGAAGGATCGCATTTCCAAAAACTGGCGCAACCTTACAGCCGAAAAGATACAACCGACGTATATGAAACACTACTTACAATTGAAATAGCCGTGCAAGAAACCAATCCTACTTACAAATGACTGCCAAGCTGCGGTCAACTTTGTTTGACCATGCTATTTACACCAAATTGACCCCGGCAAAAGTGCAGTACTATGGCACCACGAACTACGAAAGAGTTGGCTCTTCTGTAGGAAGCCTTGAATGAAACACTACTTCAATTGAATAGCGGTGAAAGAAACCAATCCTACTTACAATGACTGTCAATGTGCGGTCAACTTTGTTGGACCATGCTACTTGCAAAAAATTGACACCGGCAAAAGTGCAGTACTTTGTGAACATCTTAATAAGAGAATAACCGGCCCGACTACTTTTACGGCGAGTGGTGAACAATGTTGCAGCACCACGGACTACGAAAGAGTTGGCTCTTCTGTAAGAAGTCACAACCAACGTAAGAAACTTTTGCCCCGGAGAATGATAACGTGCCTTCCCGTGGCACGTCATCTCCCACAGAAGGAGCACTAGTCAACGCGTGGCACACATAGTCCCAGAGAGATATAGCTTTCTTCCATGACAAAAAGCATGAAAGAACTACGACAGAAAGGCACATGGCGTGAACAACGGGCACGACATCTGTTCAGGCCGTAGGGCACGGGAAGCAGTGGTCCAGTTGGACCGGTCCTTGACACACCAGGCAAAGCTTGGGGTTGTCGCTGCTCTCCGCGAGCAGTGTAGTCGTGACTTGGCAGGTGCTGGAGTCACCACGCACACGGTGGTCGCACGACGCGAAGAATCCGCCCTCCCTCTTCTTCACACGTTTGAGGTGGCCGTGGCAGGGAGGTGCGGGGCAATCCCAGTCCGGGTTACCCTTCTCGGTGATGGCCCGGGGTTCGCCTCTAGCGGCAGAGGAGTCGACGGGTTTACGCTTGTGGGGGGAAACTTCTGAGAGACTGGACAGAGAGATGGCACCCGATTTCATTTCTCGTTTTGTTGGAAGAACAGTGTGGTTGTGAGACGGGGGGAGACTCGTTCGCGCTCTAAACCTCGCGGTCTGACCTGGCACAAAATCTGAGCTGGCAGCTAACGTCAGCCTTTTAGTCCACAGGCAAAACACCCCGCTCTTTTCTCTCTAGGGCATATACAGATGAAAATATGCTGGTTTATGAGTCGTCGGGTAGTTTTCAAATCACGGAAGATAGTGCCGCTCAGGAACTTAATGTGTCTGAATACGGGTAATCGCCAGAGTTGACGCCCGGCTTTGATGCCACACACAGCGTTCTTGCGAGCGAGAAAGAAGGTAGACATGCCAAGCTTTCTTAACTCAGTAAAAGTCCTGCCGTTCGTTCTCGTCGCAGCCCTTCTTATGCACCCTATTGAAGCAGTAGGTCACACAGCAGGATTTGATGCCACAGCGAGTGCAGACTTATAATAATCTGTGATGAGTGCCGCCGGAAAAAGCTGCAAGCCGGGAAACAAACTCACGTATAACGCACATCAACACACGCCCAAAACCTGTGGCAGTCATCGCAGCCTATATGTACTGACACGACCTACTGCAGCAGTAGCTCATACAGGAGGAGCTCCACATGTCAAACGCCAAGCTAGAACACGCGCGGAGGTCCCAGCCGGAAAATAAACCCCAGATGTAAAGATTTTTTTTCTTCCATCAAACACAGAATAACAGCAGTGTATTGTTCTTTTGTGTTTCTTGACAGCCCAGGCGGGTTGCCCGGTAGGAGATTCACCTATAGGGCAGAGAGTGAGCACTGATAACACGCGTCCTCCAACCTACCGCGTCAGACGCTGACACACCCATTGCTACACAATTTTCGCGCACAACGCATAATGCCTTGCGCCTAGAGACGCGCCGAAAAAATACGCAATTTCGTTATGTGCCGAGCGGGCTGCACCATCCGCAAACAAAGTTACTCCGCAGAAGTTTGTTTGTCGGCGCAGAAATTTGTCGGCTAATTTTTTTCTGGCAGACTGACACAGACAGGCAGAGTTTTTGTTAGGTAGAGCGATAGATGTATCCCCACCAGAGACGCGCGAAGAAATGCCTGTAGCCTACCGTGTAACCGCCACACACACCTCGCCATCCGCAAAAACGCAAAAAAAAAAGAGATCAACCGCGGGACATGCGCACATACAGAGTTGAGGCAGGGTATTGTTCTCATTTTTGCGTCACAGAGTTGAGGCAGGGTATTGTTCTCATTTTTGCGTCAACCGGCAGCAGCCAGCGTCACCGAACCGAGTTTTCGCGTCCACTCCGCGCCTTGTGCGCCGCCACCCAGCGCCGCGAGGCGCCGGCCCGGCGGGCGGGGAGGGTGCCCGCTGCGAGGGGCTACCGATCCCCGCCGGTTTCGCGGCGAGCGGAGGCCGGCCGCGCGCGTAATGCAAAAAACAGTCTGAAAAACGCGCTCTAGGGCTCGGATTTGCAAGAACCCTCTGAACCCTTACGCGTAATCTTACTTAGGCATATTGACGAAACAAATGCTGATTTCCGAGTATTGTAATACGTTGTCTTGAGGTTGCTGTTTGCTGTCAGATTGCGGCTCCAAAGTTGTTAAGGTTTTGACTCGGATTGATTACCCTATGGTTAATGTCCGTGAGGTGGATTATGTCATCCTTACGAACGCTACTGCCGTATTATTTTTGTGTGGTTTGAGAGCGAGAAAGTGTGCGAGTGGCCATTACACAGGCGTGGATCCTCGGGGTATGTATCTCCCGACGTGTCTTTGGTACTTGGAATTGTTCCGAGTTGCGGAAATTCTATGCGTCTTTACGTCGGTGAATTTCTTGCGACTGTTGCTTGATGCCTTGTGGCGCACGTGGCGCCCACTCTCTCCTGTTGCTTGTCTACGAGGGCAACCTTATAAACGACTTTACCATCTCTGCATTCTTGTCAACAGGGTCAGCCGTGCTTTTCCAGCAGCACTAGGCTTGCCCCTCCCTGATCCTGTACATCGTCACGAATGCTGGCGAAAACCAAAGCATTCAGGCTTCTCGTAGAAAAGCAAAACAATGAACCAAGGGAAACCCGGCCACCGGATCAAAACCCTCCGCCGTCAAGGTCATCCTGCTGAATGACTTATCAACACAAAATCAACACAGCAGTCACCAAATTGCAAACCTCCGCGCTTACAAATATATATCAAACATGTGCTACTCCTCTTCAAGTAGCCCCCTCCCAGCAACGGGATCCCTCCTGTAACTTGCTGTTAGCACCGGGGCGCTCCTACAGCCCCAGGCACCAATGCCAAGTAGCAGCGGAAAAACGAAAGATCTGACGATACATCGCTCATCACAGCGGAAAACGAAAGAATCTAGGGTTCCCACCTTTTTTTGACCCGAGAATTTTGACACAAGGCAGCTCGGGTTATCGCAGGGAGAGGTGCCCCCCTCAAAACCTGTACATCAGAGGTAGACCAAGCAGCAGTCAACCGCAAACAGTTCTTCAGCAAACTTGCTGGTACATCGCTACAGGATACACTGGTTACAGACATCTTCACTACTCCTTTTCAAGCAGTCCCCTCCCAGCAACAGGATCCCTACTCTATCAAGTTGCCGTCAGCACCGGGGCTCGTCTACAACCCCGAGCACCGTTGTCGATCCATAACAGAAGAAAAGCGAAAACCAACGCTATGTTGTTCTCAGCGGAAGGACGTTTAAGAGGGCAATCAATCACATCGCAGGGAAGGGTGCCCCCCTCAACCTGTGCATCAATGAAAGATCAAGCAGTATCTCGACCAAAACAGCTCATCAACCAATCGTTGGTACTGCTACCATGGGAGACACTGGTCGCCATTCGTCACGAAATGAGGGGGCGCAGCTTTCTACGTCAACCCTCCCTGATTTCAGAGCAAATATCTCAGACTCAAACTGTAGA